GGCTGTGCACAAACTATAGGGGACTTCCAGGGCCTCATTGGACTGCCATAAGGGGATATCCTGGCGGGGCTAGGCGCTCTACGGGGAGTGGAGGTCGAGGTATATTTCTCCAGAATCGACCGGCGCCCGGTGGTGCGGGAAGATCTGCAATTGCCGCCCGCCAATGATTAGTAACTAATGTCGTGAATATCTCCTTGCGCTCGGTGTCCTCGGACTCGGTAAGCTGTTGAGAATGTTATGATAGCAATCAGTGCTCCTTCTCCCGCACCCCTTTTTTTTTTTGCATACTTTGTCCTTATTTTCCCTGCATAGATTGTTTTCGGTACTGGACAAGGTTATGGGTTGGTCCTACCTGCAGTTGCAAGCATGATGGGGAGAAACAGCCCTCATTTCCCTCAGGGGCTTGTAAGTATCATATGATAACAGCGCAGGAGGACTCAAGTGAAAAATTATGTTCTCCTGAGGTAGGTACCGTAGCACCGTACCTATATTTGATATTTCCCCAAGCACTCTATCTATCGCACTTTCTTGCGGATTGCATCTAAATGCGGGACCTAGCGCCAAGACATGAGCGTAATAGTAGCCAGGGCCGGCAAAGCCGCCTACCGTGGCTATCCATCCAGCGCCTAAGCATCCGGCTCGACGGCCGGGGTCTTATGTTTCCGTGCAACTTCAGATTGGGGCCACGCTAGGCCATTCCCTCTTGTGAGCCTTGATACATTTATTCAGCCTAAGCAGCGGGCTGTGAGCTCACAACCTAGCTTCCACCGTTCGGTAAGCGATATTGTTACACTTTAACGGGCGGGTTTGTGCAAGGTTCGGTTTTTGGATCTGTCCCCAAGATCCGAGGAGTATCATTGCCCTATCAAGGGATAAGACTTTTTCCAGTAACATGCCAAACTTTTGCGCATAGGTACGAGTACAGTACCGGGCAAGGCGCTTTTGTACAGGACAAGGATGGCTAAGCAGCAAAATTATCCCTGTCTTTGAACTAAAACACCTTGCTTGGTACTCGAGTAATAGGCTGGTAGATACTTGTGACCCGATTATCTAGTTAGCTAGTGCCTGTAGCGCATTAGTAGCAGGTAGTACTCGTACAGTAAAGTACCTCCCCAAAAGTGTTGGTGAAATGGGCTTTTTACACCAAAAACATTGATTTTTCGCCACTGGTAGTTTAGGAACCACAAAAGATTTTACAACCTGACTTCTGGTATGTAGTTACAATAATCCCACCCTACTCCTACTCAACTCTTAATAACTTTGGGGAAGAATTGGAGAAGTTATGCAGTCCTAAAGTTTTGACTTCACTGAAAAGCTTCATTTTACATACAAAAATGGCATAGCAACGGGTATTCTCAACTTTGGAGACTTGTAGTTTAGCCCCATAGAATAAATTGACAAAATAAATGGTGTCAGGTAAAAGCTGCAGTGAAGGTGAAAATAATTATATGGGTTGCAAGGATTATTTGAAGCAATTTCAGGTGTGGGGGTTGATCAAACCTGCCAATTTTTGGTGTAAAAAGGTCATTTCACCAACACTTTTGAGGAGGTACTTTACCAGGCGGCGCTTCCCCCCCCTAAGTACAAGTACCCGATACCATTGCTTCTGGTTCGATTAAGGCTTGCGGTATGGTACTGAACGTCTCAAGTGTCGAATGCGCTAACTAGCGCCTACAAGTATATACCGGCAGTTATTTAACTGAGAAAAAGTCTCTTTCACCCTCTAATTGCGTTGAACTTGGGGTGATTGAGGCACTATGCTGTACGCAATACGCTGGCAGATCAGTGGTGTGGTGCTATCCTACTTTTACCGCACATGATTCGGTATGGAAATGTGTTACCTTCATCCTGGTAGAGGCAGGCAAAGAGTGCCTCCCTACAACGGCAACCCCACCCTTCTCATAAGGTCCAAGTATGCGGTGCCTACCGATACCGGTATTATTATTTTTGGATGATAGCTCTATGCATATGTCCTGGTGTTCTGCGGCTTTTGCTTTGATGAGACCTACACTACCGGAAGTCTCGTATGATGCCTGAGCAGCCAGAAAAATAGTCAATCTCCCCAAAAATGTATAGAGAAGGATACAGCGATCTATCTCTGTTTGAATGTGTATGGTATGGCACTATCTTAATAACTGTGTACAAAAATACGATGCGATAGAAAGAGTATATCGCAGGCACGCTAAGCGAGGAGGGTTTTTGTATGAAGGTAGATTGGTAGTAGTTCTTTTCCTTGATTCTCTTAAGCGAGATGGGTGGTAACCCCTATTTATACAGGTGCGCATCCTTCGTATAACTAAGAGGAAATATAAGGAAAAACATAAGTATCAACGTGTTTGACTGTAACATAAGTAGGAAAAACATAAGTGCGAATGTGTTTGACCCTAAAGAACCGCCAAGGAAATCCATAAAACATGCGTAAATCTGAAGTGGTGTGAACGGATAATTAAAACATAATTGTAAATCAAATGACCGATAACCGTGAATGATGATGCATAAAATGTAAGAAATAAACCCGAACACCAGATAAGAAAAGCACGCCATAATCCCCTAATCATATCATGAAATATTAAATGAAATATACGTAATACATACTCCGCTGTAGTAATGTCCGTGTTTAGAAATAAAACTAAGTAGAGGAATATACGATATTATCAAGGAGAATATACTTATGAAATGAATTAGAAAATTCAACAATCTCGAATCCCCACTCCGGAGCTGGGGCTTTAGTGAAGAGATTTGGGTTCCCCTTAGTCATAGTACGGGCATGGCGCCGTATGTTGATATTGTTTTTCATTTCCCGGGGTTTAACTACCGGTACTCCAGATCTCCATATGTGGGATCATTCATATAGTTTCTATCGCCAATTCATTGAACGATTATGTTTGCCATTGCCCCCCACCTTTTTTAGAGTTCTCAAGTCCAATAAGTTGCCCACTATAGAGAGGACCCTGGATTGCTCCTGCCTACCGGTGGTCTCAAGTGTTTTAGTTGCCAAGTAGTGTCCTTCTCCCATGGCGCCCGAGCGAATCATCCAGATGTCGAATTAGAAATTCTGCCGGGGCCTTTACTCTTCCAAAAGCAAGAGTCTCCTATAAAGGTTTAATTTCTCTCGAATATCTACACTTTGATTGGGTTTAGATCTATCATATACCTGGCGTCGTTAGCAAATGTGGCATCTACTCTACCCCAATAAAAGCAAATCGCATGGCAATAGGTGAATTAGAGTGCAGGTACTGTATTACCTTGAGGCGCAGCTGGTGCTAGTTTAGATGACTCATTCCCGACGGGTGCCCATAAGGCTTTAGAATATTCAGCGATAACCTATGATACGAAATTATATGAGCATGGTACCTGCCTCGATAAACCTCTGCATGCAGCCATTGCCCAACTTTAACTGGTCGTATGACCCCCTGATTGCTTCCACCCTGATAAGAAGCTTTCTGGACGAGTCCATTCAGTGAGGATTCCTAACCAATAGGACTTCCTCCTTTGGTTTAACTGCCATACCGGTATTCTAAAATTAGGACTACAATTCTTGGCGGTTTATTGCGGGCTACTGTGCCATTAGGTTGCTTTGGTGCGAATCATCAACTTGTCATTAGAATGTTTTCTTGCGGCTCACATTCTGCTGTTAGTTTAAGGGACACCCGCCCGGCCGCAGTAACAAAACGCACCCTAGAGTGCGTGGATCAAGGCTACTAGGTGTCTAGCTAGATTTTTGTAGTTTTTAAATAAACATGTTGCTAACGAGCTCTCCATTTGAATATGGGCGCTTACTTATCCCCGTCTAGGGCGCGTTTATCGCGACCGGAGCTATATCATGTGTGCCTTACACAGCTTTATTCTCCCTTGTGCTAAAGCCCCTCCGGATCTTAATACATCACCTCAAGAATCCCAATGCCTACAACAGCTTGCGACTCATCCACCAGACACTTGCACATTGCCGGAATCTTGTGACTGTAAACACCGGTAAGTGTCGTAGAGGGTTCTACAGGAAAGAAAAAGCGAATACGATTGCGGGTTGTTTGGGGCTTGGTCGCTAAGGTTCCCTGTCCCTCGGGCTGAGTCCAGTGGCGGTCTACCGGCGGATCCACACAACACTTCCGTCCTCTAACTTTTACCAGTCATTCGCTGTCGGCTATCCGTTCTTGGCACCACAGAGCTAAGCAGCTTTCTTTTTATTTTTTATTTTTTTAAGCTGATAGGAGGTCCATTTGACAGCGGTGTCGGGAGTGTCAGTTACGCATCATCGTAGAGCATAGTTCGGTGGCACAGCCGTGCTTAGCCCTAGCGATAACGTCCATATTGTTCCATGTATCATACATACCGTGCGGAGAGTATCCATTCAGAGGTTACACGATCCAAACTTATATTTTTCCCCATTGGCCCACAGGCTCCCTCCCGATTTGAGAGGTAGGATTATCCGCACGAGTTCACCACAGTGACTCAGGGCACCGGCGTGCAGTTTGTATCATAATTGATGCAAGAGGGCCGGTGAGCCCACCCCCCCGGTTTGGGATCCGTCGTTGAGGTACTTGTACCGTATCATAGACTGATGCAATGACAGTATTCCCAGAACCCTGGCAATGAGATCCTGTGCCGGGAATATCTCCGAAAATTCAATCTGGGAAAAGCGAGGCTGAGGAAATTATATCATGAAAAGGCTTATCCGGTGAGCGTCTTTCGGTAAGATATCGTACCAGGACTGCAACCATGAGACCCGGCTGTGATTAGGGTTTGGGAAGAAGCCGTTATCTCAAGGGCGCAGCAAGTGCGATCCCTCGAAACACCGGCCTGCGGGTGACCCAGGCCAGGCCCAGCTTTGGTTTGGAAAAGCCGCTTTCCCACAGTCCGGCCGTACCCAAAGCCGGACGGACTGGCCACTTGGGATCACTGCGTGCAACGGGCATTACGAATCCTCGTCTGGGGTGGAGCTTCGAACAGGAGGCTGAGTTTCGAAACCTTGTCCATGCAACTATTTGTAGATAGAGTTTGGGCTTCTTGATAGGTGGATTAGACACACCGTTCCTAATTGGAGCGATTTAGTTGTTGTATCCAAGAATCTGGGCGGAACTGAGAGGGTGACTCAGTTGGCAGATGTCTTGAAGCTAAATTTCGCCCTGATCACAACGGACCAAAGGCGTAAAGAGGATAGTACTACAATTAACGAGAATTAAGAATGTCTTCTCCCCTCTATTCATCCAATGCTCGTAAATCCATTTAACATGGACATCCTAAGAGATTCCCCGTGACATTACCAAACATATCACTAAATCCAGGGTGTCCGAGTCCCATATATAGAGGTGCGGTGAAAAATAAAATCATGTGGCTCCGATAACGTGGCTCTAGTGCCCTAAAGCCTGATCTTATCTACCATGGGAAAGAACTGGCCCTTTATCTACTTACAAAGGACAGATATTACATTGTGGTGTAGCTATACACCAGATGACCATTGAGTTTGGTCCTTTTATTATTTGAGGTTCCGTGGTGTAGTTGGTATCTACACCACGTTGGATGTGGAAAAAATACCACTTGCCCTCCACTAAACCCAATCGGGTGAACCTTTGTTGGGGCTGGGTGGGGCACCCTGCCTGCCAGTCCAAAAACCCGATTTAGCAGAGTAGGTTAATAAAATTGCAAATACCAGTTGACAAGACTTACCAAGTTCAGCCTGCCCCAGCTATAACTCGTTGAGAAAATGCTATTCCTTCATAGGGTGTTTCTATTGTCTCCGATCAACGATGGTGGATTAGAGAGTTTATGCCGCCAGACCTATGTGGCAGTTACCACAAAAAGGACCTAGATGCTGGAAAGAGTTTTCGCATAGAATCCAGGTGACTTGGCGGCTGGGTTACAATAGCTGAGTACAATGTGAGGTGTCGATAGCTGGAGCGGAGAATGTGGAATCAATATTATTACATGACTATCATATTTTTCATATTTTTTATTTCTCTCGCAGCTTCTTTGCATTTAGCTTCGCTTGGTATCCATAGAAATATGTTGGTGTTGTATATTTTTCATGTTCTCTAGAAACTTATTCTAGGTCTTTAAAATAGCCCTTTAGGCCATGACCAGGTGCGATTGGGCACCCAGGTCTCTAAGCCTTTTAGGATAACATATATTAATGAAATTTACCGCCACCTAGGTCTGCATGCGCAAACTCTCTATTTAATGAAAAATTATGGCAAGCACGATTTCCTGTTTAGGTGTGGCTCAAGTCATACACAGTCAGCGAAAATGTCGGCGAAAATTTAGTCTGAAGCAGGGTAACCATCACTCAACAAAGCTCTATTTAAACATTCTTTTCTGTCGGTTCTGGCCTCAACCTGTACTTTACATTCTACCGGCAGAACATAGCTTCACTTGTGTTAAGACGTCTCAAAATGTGTCACGGACAGGGTCTGAGGGTCGGGTAGCCCAAGGCACACCACGATCAGGATAGGCAGGAATCTGGAAACGAGGTCTAGGTGCGAGGGTACAACCGAAGCGAGTTGTATGAGGTTCTGGGTTCAGGGGGTTCAGGGTCAGGGTTCAGGGGTTCAAGAGGACGCCAGAGAGTAGAGAGTGTAATTCCTAGGTACAGGTGTCCGAATAATATCTAAGTTTATTTATACTCGTCGCGCCAAAACATGGCTTATGATCGAGCGCCCCCCCGACAGGAGCTTAACGCCGGTCGGGATCCACCGATGGGACTGGATACTTCATGGATTTCTATCTTATTCCTGTTTTTCCAGCTTCTTTCCTGCCTCTGGCTTCAGTTCCGCCTCTACCCCCCAACCCCTG